GCGGGTCTCCCGCTGTTGTGGCTTTTCCCGTTGGAGAGGACGCACAGGTTCAGGGGGGGCCCAGCTTCTCCGCGGCAGGCGGGATCTTCCCGGCCTCGGGCACGAACCTGGGTTCGCTGCATCGGCAGGCAGACTCTCAACCACTGCGCCACCAGGGAAGCCCAAGCTCAGGCTATTTTGAACAGCTTTCACACGCCCTCACTTCCAGGCCTCTGCATATGCTCTTCTCTCTACCAGTCACACCCTTTCTTCCGACCCCTACTCCCCAGTGCTCACCCCTCAGCTACTCCTGGTAAATTTTAATCTTCCTCAGGCTTTATTCCTGCTATCCCAGAGCTCCATCTTGACCACCCCTCCCCCAACCCCCAACCCCTACACACTCACACACTCACACACACACACACACACACACACACACACACACAACATATAGTTAAGCCTTCTGGGTGCTTCCAAAACTCCTTGCCGTTCTTCCATCATATACGTGGTGGACTACTGATCATAAACTTTAGACTCTGGCACTAAACTGCCTAGATTCAAAGCCCCACTCCACCACTTAGTAGTTAAGTAGTTAAACGACTTATTAGTTTACTCCACCTTGGGTAAATTAGTTGAACTCCCTGAGCCTCAGTTTCTTCTTCGTAATGAGATACCTCCCTCACCGTACTGTGAGGTTAAAAGAATTCATTTCAGTTCCTGTATGTAAAGGCACATGGTAAGAACTATGTGTGAACTCTATGTGAGAGACAGAAGTGGGTGCTATTATTCTTTCTGTACTTATCGCACTATATAATTGTCTGGACTATAAGCGAAAGGGCAGGGAGGGGATACCATCTTCAGGGGCAGACACTGCATACACATTTGCTGAATGGATGGTGGCTCCTCTGTTTTCTTTCCACTGTCCCACACTGCCTCACAGTGGCTGCCATCCTAGAGGGTAGAAAGTATTAGACAATTTGTTCCAATGGGAATTATTAACATCAGCACAAGCAGGAAATTCTTACCTATTTTCTAATTAATGAAGCAAATTTAAAAAGATACACAAATGGCCAATAAACTCATGAAAAGATGTTCAGCATCTTTAGCCATTAGGGAAACATGAATCAAAACCGCAAGGATGTGACTTCCCTGGTGGCGCACTGGTTGGGAATCTGCCTGCCAGTGCAGGGGACGTGAGTTCAATCCCTGGTCCGGGAAGATCCCACATGCCATGGAGCAACTAAGCCCATGCGCCACAACTACTGAGCCTGCACTCTAGAGCCCGCGAGCCACAACTACTGAGCCCACATGCCACAACTACTGAAGCCCACGTGCCTAGAGCCCGTGCTCTGCAACAAGAGAAGCCACCGCAATGAGAAGCCTGCGCACCACAACGAAGAGTAGCCCCCACTCGCCGCAACTAGAGAAAGCCTGTGCACAGCAATGAAGACCCAATGCAGCCAAAAATAAATAAATAATAATTTTTTAAAAATGAAGTGAAAACACACATCCACAGAAAACCCTGTACATGAATGTTCATAACATCATTATTCATAATAACCAAAAAGTGTAAACAACTCAAATGTCCACCAACTAATGAATAAACAAAGTACGGTATGGAATATTATACAGCCATAAAAAGGAATGAAGTACTGATACATGCTACAACATGATGAGCCTTGAAAACATTATGCTACATGAAAGAAGCCAGACATAAAGGCTGAAAACTGCATGATTCCATAAAGAGACAGAAAGTAGATTAGTGGTTACCTAGAGCTGGAGGGGAAGTGAGTGACTGTTAATGGATTCAGCATTTCTTTTTTGGAACAATGAAAATGTTCTGGAATTAGAGCCTTGTGATGATTGCACAACTCTGTGAATATACTAAAAAATAATGAATTGTATGCTTTAAATGGGTGAATTATATGGAATGTGAATTATATGTCAATAAAGCTGTTCTTTTTTTTAAAAAAGCAACTGAAACAATAGTGAGAATGACTATTTCTCAGCACTTGCTATGTGCCATGTGGCATACTAACCAGATTTTTTATATTGACTCAATATCTGGAATTTCAAAAAAGGCAAGAGAGGCTAAGAGTACTTTTTAAAAGATAACTTCAGGAATGAGCCTAGCCCAGCCTCGAACACAAAACAGATGCTCAACAAACATTTCTCTTTTCTTAGTCTGGTGATTCACTTAAGAGATTATAGTGCACAGACCTAGGATTATAACAGTCTTGGGAAGGAGAGCAGCCTGGGACTGGAAGCGAAGAGGCCTTGTCAACCCTAAAGCTAAACTGAAGAGAAGTTGGGAGAGGTGTTGTGATCTTGGAGCAGAGTTTAGGGCTGAAATTGTGGACACAGTGCACAGCCCCCTGTCAAAGCCGAGTGACTTGCTCTGGATTACCTCTTGCCCAGGGAGTTTTTGGTAAGGCAGTAAAGGAAGGGCAGTAGTTAACAGGCACAATCCTGGACTTGGATTGTCCGGGTTTCAAAATGATTCCGCTTAAACAAGCTTCTTAGCCTCAATGGCCTCAAGTTCCCTCACTGGCAAAATGAGGGTAATGATAGTACCTACCTCAGAGAATTGTTAAGAATTAAATGAGTTCGTTATATGGAAGGCACTTAGAACTACCCTGGCACACTGTAATAGCTCCATATATGTTAGCAGCTGCTATCATCACCTTCGTCATTATCATCATTATCACCTTCGAGAGGCATGTCTGACTAGACACTCAAGGGCCTCGCTGAAAGGAACAGTAAAGGGAGACTGGCAGGCGGACACCAACATTTGCTCTTGGTGTCTGCTCGCAGGTTGACGGCTTTACACCCATTTCGCCTGTGTTCATGCGCAGGGTGGAGAGGGAGGGCGTGATCTGTCCCGACCCAGCTGCTGCGCAAGGTCCTATCAAGATTCCCGCTGACCAGGGAAGCAAAAGGGCCGGGAAACTCGCGGCACCCCACCCCCACCCCCAGCCCCCAGCACTCCAGGCTGAAGGGATGAAGGGTCTGGGAAGCTTTGGGGTGGGAAGAGGGAGAGGGAGGAGCGCGGGGCGGAGCTGGGGGAGGTCCGTCGGGGGGGAAAGGCCTGTCCGGAGACAGAGAAGCTGGGAGAGCGGTCGCTGCAGCCTCGGAGGTAGGGCCGGCATGCCGTGCGACGTACCTGGAGTCGAACTTCTGGCCGTCTGGGAACATTCCCACGTAGTGGTAGCGCACGAAGTCGCCGCTGCGCACGGTGCGGGGACACTCGTCGGGCACGAAGCGCCGCTCGATCTGCAACTCCGTGTCGGAGCCCAGCCCCAGGCCCGCCACGGGCGCCGCCTGCCCGGTCACCCAGAGCAGCAGCAGGAGCAGCGGCGGCGGCGGGGGCCGCCAACCCCGGGCCCTGATCGCCATCGCGGGCAGCGAGAAAAGGGGGTCGCGGCGCGGAGCTGGCGAGGCGCGCTGAGCTCGGGAGGCGCGGGTCGGGCCTGGACTTGCGGCGGCGTTTGCAAACGTGGAAAAGACTCCCGGCCCTCCCCGGGCGGCAGCAACCACCCCCTCTCTCCCGCCCCCCGCCCCCAGGCCACATCCGAGGGAGGGGAGGAGCCGCGGCCGCGCTCCAGGACCCGCCTGCTGCTCCCTGAGAAGCCTGGGCCCGCAGGGTCCGGTGGGCCGGCCCGCCCGGGGAAGAGGCGGGCCTTCTTCGGCTGGCGAGTTCAAAGGGGACCCGTCCCCGAGGGAGAAACCGTGAGCTCCTCGGGACTGGGCTTCGGCCCAAAGTTGGGAGGGAAAAACTGTTACTACCCAGGCAAATCCGCTGGTCTCTGCCAGTCGCTAGAGACTCTCCGGATTTAGTGCCACCAGAGGCTTCTACGTGGCCGCGGATCCAATTACCCCTTGCTGCTTTGGGGAGGGAGGAAAACTTTTTTTTTTTTTTAATTAGTTTCAAGGCTGGATTCTACGTTGAAAATGACTGAAACCGTCTTCAAGATTTTTTTCCAGGATTTTCTTTTAATACTCAGAGAAAGGGGGAGACATGAATTGTGAGACTCCCCTGACAGTTGTCCAGAGGAAAGTTTTAAGTGGCTACCTGTGAGTGATACTTAATAGCAAACATCCCACGTGGTCCCACCCGCATGACTAAGCCGGCTAAGACCCCACATTAGAGACTCAGATGCTGCGGGAAATTCATTAGAGTAATTTAATGCATTCTAAGCTTAGAATTGGTTGTTCTCATTTATTGAAACTTTGGACTAATGAAAGCAAATCACCAAAGGTTTCTCAGCTCGTTTTGGAAGCAAACAATACCAATACCAAAACCTGGCAAAGATAGCAAGAGAGAGAGAATGTGGGCGCCAACCTAATTTATAACTAGAAATGCAAAAATGTTAATAAATTGTGACTAAATTGAATCCAACAACTTATTAAAGAAAAAAAACACAATTATGCGGACTATTTAGGTGACCTGCAAATTGTCTGTGTCCTCTGTAAGACGAAGATAAAACGTACTAATTTTTTTAAAAAATGATAATTATTAGATTATTATAGATTTTATTAGATGCAGGATCTAATGAGAAACTACACGTAGCACTAAAGAAATGTTCATTATTCCTAATAGAGCTTATTCTATTGAAATAGAAAACCTATTAATACAATTCATCCTAACACTGGTTATTTATAGGTGGTTGAATTTGGGGTGATCATTTTCTTCCTTCTATGTACTTTTCAGTAGTTCTTTATGGTTTTTAATAACAATGTCAGGTTTTAAACAGAAACAAACAAAAAAGTCAACCTGGTTCCAGTCAGGAATCTTCCACTCCCTTACTGTGACTGTGGGCAACGCATGCCACCTTCTGGGCCTCGGTTTCTTCATCTGTAAAATGAAGTGGTTGATTTCTAAACTCTTCCAATTCTAAAATCCTATGATCCTGTGAGAGAGAAGACATTCCAGAATGGAAAAGAAGACAGATGTAGGAAGAAACAGGCCAGGTAGTGACTGCCACTTCCATTTTGCCTTGTAGTGCTTCCAAGTGGTCATTCCTTTTATTTTATTTATTTATTTATTGGCCACGCTGAACAGCCAGGGATTGAACTCAGGCCCACGGCAGTGAAAGCACTGAGTTCTAACCACTGGACCACCAGGGAATTCCCTTGTTATTCCTTTTAAAATGTTAATTATCTGATCAAACAGTATGTGTGCTGTATAATGTCTGTAACAGACATTCTTTGAAATGGATTTCTGTAGCAATTTACCAAAGAGAAAATTTACCTCTTGGCATTACTGACATTATCATAAGAACTAATTAAAATCAAGCTGAGATTTTAAAATAAGGATTTCCATTAAACTTCTGGGGGTGACTTTGTAAGAACTTGGCAAGTCTAAAAACTGTAAATCCAGTCAAGAAGAGTCAACAGTAGACTAAAAGCTTAGAAAGGTAAAGATGGGGGGAAGAGGTTAGCAGGTGAGAGACGGTAACCAGAAAGAAGGGAAAGGTACTGGAATTTTTTTAAAGGAGCGGGGAGAGAATGAGATAGAAAGCAAGAAGGGAAACATAGAAGAGGAGAATCAGTGAGAGAACAGAGAGCCAAGGAACAAGAGAACGTGACATAGAGGCGAGGACATAATAGGAGAAACATCCAAAAGGTCTGAGGCCAGGATGGAGGCGTGGAACAACATGGAGAAGGAAGCGAAGGGGGATCTGAAACAGGATCGGTCTGAATGAACGTCAGAGAACTAGGTTCTTTCTATCCACCGCTATACAGGAAGCGGAAAAATTACAAACAATCCGTCAAGTAAAGCAGGGCACTAAAGAAAGAATTCTAGTTTTCATTGAGCCTGAAATAAAGAAGGACTCACGCATGAATCAGATCTTCCAAGAGCAGTAAACCCTGGAGGCTAAGCTTTGTAAGCTATTAACTTCAGTTTGGCACACACTGAGTTGGGGATAAAGAAAAGGCCAGTATTAAGAAAAACATCCCCCCCCCCGCCCCCGCCAAATTCATCTGAGTTGACCTGAGGCAAAAATGAAGTAGAAGAAATGTTTCCAGCAGTGTGTTCTCTCCCTCCCCAAGAGTTTCCAAGAAATTCTCCCAGCTTCAGTATTTGACAACACACCTGGCGTCACCATGTGGTTTGATGAAAAACCCTGGACTAGAAAGCAGACCACCCTGGTTGTAGGGCCACTCAACCCCCTACTCTCTGAGCCTCAATTTCCTTATTTGTAAGATGTCTTGCCTACCTCCGTAAAGTTTCTAGGAGGATCAAGTGAAGCAATTTATGAGGGATGAAAATCTGCAAAGTACTGTGTAAATGTAAGGAATCACATTTATCTATGAGTGAGAGAAGACCCAACTCAAAAATCACTTAACTCATAAAGATGTATACTATCTCTCACAAGAGAAAGTCTGGATGGGAAGCAGCTGCAGGTGTGGTTAATAAAGTGTCTCTAGAACATCCCCAAGGGCTCAGGTGTCTTCTGTCCTCCTCAGGGGGTTCACTGCTCCCCCTCATGATTCCAACATGGCTCCCCCAGATCCAGCTACCACATGCAGGGAGCACCACCCTGAGGCAGAAAAGGGATCTTTTATCTTTCCAAGTATCCTTTATTAAGAGCAAGCATTTCCAGAAAGCCTCCCTCCTACAGACATCCCCTCATGTCTCATTGACTGAAACTGTATCCCATGCCCATTGCTAACCTATCAGTGGAAGAGAAATAGTATTACTACGATTCGTTTAAGACTAATCAAGATTCATCTCCAGAGAGCAAGGAGAGTCTCGACTCTCTAACCAGCCTCCTCTGAAGTAGATGGCTCCCTAAGCTTTCTGAAAAAAACCAGAGTGCTGTGAGCAAGGAAGCGAAGGAGGAATGGCAATTGGTTTGTCAACCAACAGGTTTTGTCAATTACGTTAGATGTCTTCCCTTTTCCCTCCAAGCATCAAGTAAAGCACATTGTCTGCAATTTTTCCTCTAATCCTACTGGTTACTAAATAGAATACCAGTTTAAATTATTAGAAATAATAATACGGGACTTCTCAAATGTTTCCACTGTGCTGCAGAGAGCTATGGACATGGACCCTTGGGAGATTAGTGACTACTTGACCAGAATTCTTTGAAGTCTGGTGTTTAGCAGGGGGGAAGGGGGGGAGACAGATTCTGCAGTCTACCTTCTAATCTAGCCATGATTCATTAGTATGTAATAGGATGTGATCTTTCCCTTTTACTCATTTTTTCCTTCCTCCATCTTCCCAGTGGGGAAAAGGTCATTGGTAAGTTAAGAACTAGTTAAAAAAACACCTTGTGAGCAAAACAATGGCATCAAAGCTATGCTGCAAAAGCTGGTCAAGATAAGCAGGAGTGGGCTTCCCCGGTGGCGCAGTGGTTAAGCATCCACCGGCCAATGCAGGGGACACGGGTTCGAGCCCTGGTCCAGGAAGATCCCACATACCGCGGAGCAACTAAGCCCCTGCGCCACAAATACTGAGCCCCTGTTCTACAGCCCGTGAGCTACAACTACTGAGCCTGTGAGCCACAACTACTGAGCCCGCACGCCTAGAGCCCGTGCTCTGCAACAAGAGAAGCCACCACAATGAGAAGCCTGCACACCGCAACGAAGAGTAGCCCCTGCTCACCGCAACTAGAGAAAGCCTGCGTGCAGCAACAAAGACCCAACATAGCCAAAAATAAAGAAATTAAATTAATTAATTTAAAAAATACATATAAGGAGAAAATCTAGTCATTTGGGGGAATTCCCTGGTGGTCCAGTGGTTAGGACTCCAAGCTTCTACTGTAGGGGGCCTGGGGTGTATCCCTGGTCAGGGGGTTGAGGAGGGGGTAAGAAGAAGAAAAGCCAGTCTTTTTAAAATTGTTTCATTCAGAAAGGCTTCAAACCTATCCAGTAACACAGAGTCAGGACTAGCTGCAGCCACCCCTCTACAATTAGGCCAACACCAAGGCCCTTTGGCTGGCCTTGAGAGTGAATCTGCTATCTTAGGATGAAGCAGAGGGGTAGAAAAGACTGAAGCAGAGGATAGAACACAGAGGGAGGACAAAGAAGGCATCTCTCACTCACCTGGGCTAGGCACCTGGGTACAAAGTGAAGGGTGACTCCATGTGTATTCACAGTTGGGTAACAATCACTTTACTCTTTCTTTCTGGAAAGGAGCTGTACCTGCACACCCCTCCAGATGCTACATGCATAAAGAAAGGGTGATGGGTAAGAAGAATGATTCAGAATCATAACCACCAGAGAAAGAACTCCTGTTTGTCTAACTGCTTACTAGATGTCACTACATTGAGTTTATCACAATCAGAAAATGGGGCTGAATTTGAAAGATGGCCCTGGGTCATAAAGAATCTGACTCCATTTTTTTATGTTGACCACTGTCACCCTTCAAGCCCCGCCTCCACTTTCCGCTTTCTCCCCACCTGTGGACAAGCTGATAAGAAAGCCTACACACTCCTTCCCTTGGCACCAGAGGAAAGTTCAAACCCCACAAAGCCTTGGCCTGTGTGCAGGCGTATTCACCCAGGTTCTACCTCCTAAACACAATAAAACCCAGGGTTACTCACCTTTCCTTTGCTGAAGCTATTTTTGAACTGTCTTAGGTGCCTGACCTGCTCTCCCAGAAAGCCTCAATATGTGAGTAATAAATTTCTCCCTACCCTCTCGGTGCATATGTGGCATCATCAGTCTTGACAGCAAACCGATTTGGGGTGGAGGAGGGTCCGGCATACTTCTGTGGAGTGACCACAACACCTTGCATATCATCCTGGATCGGCGGCCAGGAAACTTCTCAATCTGGTGCCAAAATACATAAAGAACCCAGGCTCACATAAACAGGTGGATATAAGCAGCAAAAGAATTTTCACTAAACAAATATAGAAAAATGGTACAGATGAACCTATTTGCAGGGCAGGAATAGAAAGGCAGACGTAGAGAACAGACCTGTGGACACGGGGGGAAGGGGAGGGTGGGATGAACTGGGAGATTAGATTTGACATAAATATACTACCATGTTTTAAATAGATAGCTAGTGGGAACCTGCTGTATAGCACAGGGAGCTCAGCTCGGTTCTCTGTCATGGCCTAGTTGGGTGGGATGGCGAGGGGAGGGAGGTCCAAGAGAGAGGGGATGTATGTATGCGTATGGCTGATTCACTTTGCTGTGCAGCAGAAACTAAGACAACGTTGTAAAGCAATTATACTCCAATAAAAAATTTTTTTAAGAAAAGAATTTTCCCTGCTTTATAAGTACTAACAGGGTAATTATCAAAGAGAGATGCCTAGAATGCAGCTCAGGATGTGGTAGTGGGTGAGGCTGTCAGACTACTGAACTGTACACCTGTTATTTTTCCCTGCCCAGTATTGCTCTTCTCTTCTCCTTCCTCCTCCCCTTGCTCCTCCTCTTCCTCTTCTTCTTTCTCTGTCTCTCTCTCTCTCTTTTCCTCTGTTAATAGCACCTGGATTTTGCTTTGAGGAACAACCCCTCCCCCTCTCCTAGTCGATATGGCTTGGATAAAGCTGATCCACCCCTCAGATTTAGGGTGGACATGTAACATAGGCATTAGCAGTCAGTGTTCTGCAACTCCTTGAATACAGTGATTGTTTCCATGACAAGTACATGACTCTTGCTAAGCCAATGAGTATAATACATGGAATTCTTATTGGAACTGAGAAAGAGAAAGTTTCTTCCAGCTGGGGCTGCTAATTTGCTGGCCATCTTTGGATTCTAGTGGCCATCTTTGCCCCCACAATGGGAGAAACTTTGCCCCCACAATGGGAGAAACTGCAAAGAATGAAGCAATACAAAGGAATGTGAAGCTCTGAAATTGCTGACTATAACATTTCAGCACCTAGATCCAGCCATTCCTGAAGTTCCATCCCATGACATTTCACATATGTAAGCCCATAAATTACTTAATTTTTTTTCTTAGAGCAGTTTGATTTGGATTTTGGTCCATTGTTGTTTTCAAAAGAATTTTGACTAATATTTGCTAAAATGGAATTATCAATCCCTGGGTCTTCTTGCTGAGAGAGCAAATCACTATTTTAGACAAACTGACTTTGAATTGACTTCTTTCAACTGCAAGTGAGAAAAATCCAACACAATTGCTTTCTGCATATAAGTATATACTAAAGTTTTCAGATTATTTGCTTGCACGCCATAAGGTCACTGGTTAGATAATGTTTGTTGTCTTTTCTTTTTTCTTTTTTCCTTCTTCCACCTTCTTTTCTTTTACTTTAAGCGCATAACTTGGCCGGCAACAAAGCCTCCCCAGGAGGACAGGAGCAATTCTTGGTTGACGTGAGCCCCTTAAGATTTATCTTTGGCTTGCACCAAGGAGTTGTCTGACCAGGGGTAGGGTGTGGTTAGGCAGTGGGGTCTGACCTGACATCCCTTTTTTTATTGTCTCAGGGCCTCTTCACGTGATCTCTCCCCATTTGTTAGCTTGGGCTTCCTCTTAGCATGGTGGCTTCTATGCAACTGAACAGCTTACATCCCTGAAGGCTTCAGGAGGGAATACTTCAAGAGAACCAAGGGAAAGCTCTGGCTCGCTCCGCAGCATCCTCAGCGCCGGGGCTCCTGGCCGCCGCCAGGGGGCGCTCTCCGGCCTGCGGCACCCGCTGACTCCGCAGCAAGGTTCGGGGTCTCAGAGCAATGACTTGCGGAGGCAGTCGGGCCGGCCTGTCGGGAGGCGGGGCACTAACGGCCTCAGCCGGGACGTTGGGCCCGGCCCGGCAGGCCGCGGAGCGGCGGCGAGAGGGGGCGCTGCGGGGCCGGGCGGGCGCGGCGCGGCGCGAAGGAAGTGCGGTCTTCGCGGCTCGGCGTGGGCCCGCAATGTCGTCCCAGCTCGGGCGCGACGACTCGGGGACCGCGGGCGCGCGGCGGCCGCGGGAGCCTCCGGAGCAGGAGCTGCAGCGACGCCGGGAGCAGAGGCGGCGGCGGCACAACGCGCAGCAGCTGCAGCAGCTCAAGCACCTGGAGTCCTTGTGAGTCCGTCACGCCCGCTCCCGACTAATGTGAGGAATGGGGTCGGGGCCCGGGGTCGCGCGGCGGGGCCTGCCCGGGGTTGGAGACCTGCGAGTGGGCAGGTGGGCCCGTCCCCAGCAAGCCGGGTGCGGGTTTTGATCCCGGGCTGCGGGACGCTGGACTCAGCCTTTGGAGGAAGAGGGGGGAGGCTCCATCCCCAGGCTCGTCCCGGGCGCGCGAGGCGGCGGCGGGCGCGCGCTTCTCGGCCGGAAACGACGGTTTTATTCCTCGTGCGGCGACGTCGGTGTCGGTCAGGATTTGAATACAGGAGAAGTGCGGCTGCGCCCTTGGGTCCTTTCCCGTTTCTCCGTTCAAGGGGCTCGCTCTGACCTGGGTAAAATCCCCATTCTTTTCATCTAGTGCTGTTAACCAGGGAGGGAAAAGCCCAGTCCTTGAGTGCGCGGTGAAGAATGGAAGAATAAACGTGGGGTGAGGGCCTGGTCCCTGACTCTTCGGGAGGAGCTGTCAGGTCGAAGAGAGCGTGGACTTCTCTCTCGTCCCCAGGATTTTTTTAACCAGAGTTAAGGGTGGAAGCAACAAAGAGGCCAGTTCCAGCTCAACAAGAAGAATTAGGACCAGAGTCATGGATTCTTGCTGGTCAGCGTGGCCTGACCTAGGAGGCACTGTACTCCCCCAGCTACCCGGGGTTGGAGAGAGTCCAGATAACGCCTGAGAGAAGGGTTGGTTGTAAAGGAGATTTAAACAGCAGGTGGAAGGTTGGATTAATGACCCTTGCGGCTCTTTTGTGTGTTTCTGTCGTTCTGTAATCAGCTTTAGAAGTCTGACTTTACTAAGTTTGGTGTTCACTGAGTTATCTGAATTATTTCTGTTTCAGGCACTTCTCATTACCTACCTTCTCATGATTGCTGAGACAGTCGTGTAAGGAAAGGCCCTCATTAACCTTCTGGGAGCTTTGATACAAAGTGCATGCTTCCTTGGAGCCTGGCCTGCTCTTTTCAGTGTGGCTCTTGTGCTGAATTTCACCTCAGTGGGCTGTGGTTTGGATACAGGTCCTGGCGCGTTCAAGGCACTCTGGGCTCAGGCAGGGCTTAGCCCCACCAGCCCTCTGTATCTTTAACGGTAGGATGCCAGGTGGTGGTTAATACTATATGTTTGTTTTGTAGCTCACAGAGCTTTTTCACAGACAAGAGAAAGATGATAACGTTTTGTAGATAAGAAAATGGAGGCTCAGTGGTGAAGCCACTGACCTGGTTAGCCAACAAAATTAGAGCAGAATTCAGGAGTGTGATTCTCAGACCAGTGGGATTTTTCCAGTTTCACAGATTTGAAACTGGCTAGGCTATGGACATATTTGCTTTTTCTAGTTCAGGGTTTTGTTTGATTTTAATTAAGTTTAATTCATACCAGAGTAATACTTCTATATAGCTTAGAACTTAAACAGTACTAAAAATGCTACAAAAAATAGCGGTGGGCTGCCCAACTCCTCATTTACCCACCAGAGTAACCTGCACAGCCCTCCACCTGCTTCCCTCCTAACAAGACCAAGCCTTCCATGTGCAGACTCTTTTAGTTTTTATTTCTTGGATTTAACTGCACATTTCTAAGTTATATGCTTATAACTGTTTTTGTTGACTCAACAATTTTAGACATCTGTTAACTTCTTGTCATAGTAGATAAAGATTTAGTTCTCTTACTTGCCCGTCTTGTTTCCATCCTTCCAATATAGCACCATCATAATAACTTTCCTAATCAATGTCAGTGTTAACATTGTTATAACTTTTTTTTTTGGCTGTGTTGGGTCTTCATTGCTGTGTGCAGGCTTTCTCTAGTTGCGGTGAGCAGGGGCTACTCTTCATTGTGGTGCGCGGGCTTCTTGTTGCTGTGGCTTCTCTTGTTGCGGAGCACAGGCTCTAGGCATGCGGGCTCAGTAGTTGTGGCACACGGGCTTAGTTGCTCCGCAGCATGTGGGATCTTCCCGGACCAGGGCTCGAACCTGTGTCCCCTGCCTTGGCAGGCAGATTCTTAACCCCTGCGCCACCAGGGAGGCCCTCAAGGCTCTTCTTACCGCACATTTTCCCTGCGATCTCTTGCTTTCCCTTCTTCCAAAAATAAAATCGCTGTGCCGAGACACTAAGTTATGATTTCAGTGAATTTAAGTTCGACATCGAACAGGATGTGGTATAGCATCAGTTTATTTATATAGGACTTCTGACTGCTGGGCATATTTTATTAACTGTTTTAGTTATAATGTAGTTTTAAGTTTTTTCTTAAAAAAAAGCCTTTTCATTTTGGTCTGCAGTTGCCTTTTGCTGATTGAGATGTGTTAACATTCCTATGAACATGGTTCATGACTGGTGTTTTCTTCCTTTCTTGTTATGAAAAACCTCCTCCTGGACTTATCAAGGTCAGTGTGAAGTTTGTACTTTTGGTTTTTCTCTGAGACAGATTTGACTCAGTGCTCAGACTCAGTCACTTGTTATGAAAAACAGCTGCATAAGGTTTGAACCTCCTTTTATGATAGTTCTGTGTCTTCCCTGCAGATGGCAGTCGGTTCATGCACTTTGGGCTTTGTCACAGCCTGTGCCTTTGCAGACATTTAATCAGCCTTGTGTCTGTCCCCTAAGAAACCACTGCAGGCCCCCCGAGCGTTCCTCAGCGCTCACTCCCATTCTTTCTGTCTCACTTGTGACTGCATCTCCTCAAAGCTCTCCTGCCCCATGTTCCTTCTCTGACCCCCTCGGTGCTGATTTCTTGAATGTCATCAGCTCAGAGAACACTGGACTCAGGAGACGTGAAGCTCATCCAGTCCAGCCCTACCTGTTGCAGGAGTCCCTCCTCCAGCACCCTGGCCACAGTGTCAGTGTCTTTCTGCAGGAGCGAGACTTAGAGGACTTAAGGCCAAAGTAACCTTTTCTGTTTGGTAACTTTCAACTTAAAAAAAAGATTTTTAGAAAAATTCTTCCATTATAAATTTAATATTTGTGGAAACTTAAAAAAATCATAAGGTAAAAAAACAGCACCTTAATTACATAGTGTAGTTATTTGGTAATGAAAATACATCTCACAAATACAGCATATGTGAGATTATAAAACATGACAGTGGCCTTCAAGGTCTAATAATCTATTTTACTCTAACACATTTTTCTTATTATTCCAGGAAACCTCACTTGTTTAACTCTATATTCTGCCTCATTCCACAAAGCTTTTAAGTTAGCAGAAAACCTTTTGTGATCTTAGAATCTAATTTTTGTGATCTAGAATCAGAATTTGGAGCTCACAGATCAATCCTGTGTAAACACTATAACCCTTCTCTAAGAACAGCTACTTTGTTTTCATGGTATAGCTAGCTCTTCTAGTATAGTTACTTCCATTTTTTCTGTCAGTTATGATTTGTCTTTCTTTCTAGCTCTTCAGAGGGTAACTTATGATGACGTTGGGATCTCCAGCCCATGAGAAAGCCAGGCAGTGCTGTGTTCTCAAACAAGTGGGAGAGTTCCTGTGCTTTTTTGCCACACAGCTTACACAGTTTCCTTTTTCAGGAGGATGAGACTAAGCCAGAAGACTGTATACCAGATGTCCCAGGCAATGAACATGCCAGGGAATTTCTGGCCCACGCACCAACCAAAGGACTTTGGATGCCACTGGGAAAAGAAGTCAAAGTCATGCAGTGTGAGTGTGGAAGGGTTTCAAGTAACACCCTCAATACGTGCAAGTTATAGACCACTGTTTACAAACAAGTTCACTTCTTTTAATTCATTCTCACCACAGCCCTGCTAAAGTCAGGGCATTATCTCTGTGCTATAGATGAGGAAGCCGCCTTGCATATGTTATTAAGTGTTCTGGGGTAAGAGGCAGAGCAGTGCTTAGACTCCAGGGCTTCTGGCTGTAAGGGCAATGGTCTTCCACAGGGCCGTAGCTGCCTGCGGAGTATACGCTTCAGTAATATTCCTGTAACAGAAAGGATATTCCATGTAGAAATGCCATGGGGGACAACGGATGTATTGGAGGGTGGTCCCTTGGGTCTTGCCTCAGTCAGTCATCCTCATCAGAGGTGTTGAGGTTTTATCCAGGTAACCTGAGAGGAGCTCTGGGCCACAGTGGATGGGTCTGGAACAGGTAGAGCTCTGTGTGCACACCTTCCACCACACCAGAGCAGCAGCACCTTCATCCAGCATAAGACAGCATTTGAAGAAGGGGTACTGCTGCCTTTAAAGACATTGTACAAAGATTCTTCACACACATAATTAAAATAGCAGTTTGCAGTCTCTTTGCCTCCATTCACACATCATCCTTTTTCCAGTACCTAGGTTGCAACAGTTAGCCTTATTCAGGGTGGCAGGGAATACATGAGGGCATGCTTTTTAGAAGTCAGGGATTTTGGGGTCCATCTTTGAGACTGGCAACCACAGTTATTGCTCATCATTGGGAGATAAAAAGTTGATTAGGAGCTCTAAGTGTGTGAGTGGGGTTTGCTGAGTGTCACTGGAGGGTGATATTTCTAGTCCGGTCAATTGGGAACTTGTGAGGTCAGTACCTGTAGGTTTTTCTTCTTGGGGTGAGTTTTATTTTCCTAGAGAAGAAGGCTCCTCCATGGAGGGTAAAGGCCAGGCTGCTAGTGTTGTGGGATCTGATTGGAGCAAGAAGGCTGGGAAATCTTGCCATTTACTTTTTATTTGTTCATGTAATCTTCTATATTTACTATGGCACCTTGCCTTCACATGTATCTGATGTCACTTTGCCAGAGATCTATGCCTTCACCTTTTTCAGACAATAAACTTCCTTCCACCAGGGCTAGTAAGAGTTGCCCTTGGACTTTTCATCAATCCTCCTTATTTCAGCTCCTCCTTTACCTTTACTTTCAGAGGTATCTGGTGCTCAGAGCTCAATTCCTAAGCTCTTTGGAGGTGCTGCAAATAGAAATTGAGCTGATTCTCCGTTCTCCCCTCTGGTGGCTTAGAATTCAATTTTCTGGTGTCTGCTCTTCATTTAACATTTAGTTTTTTGTTTTGTTTTGTTTTGTTTTTTTTTGCGGTACGCAGGCCTCTCACTGTTGTGGCCTCTCCCGTTGCGGAGCACAGGCTCCAGAACCGCAAGCTCATTGGCCATGGCTCACGGGCCCAGCCGCTTCGCGGCATGTGGGATCTTCCCGGACCGGCGCACGAACTCATGTCCCCTGCATCAGCAGGCGTACTCTCAACCACTGCGCCACCAGGGAAGCCCAGCATTGAGTATTTTTAAAAAATATTTATTTATTTATTTGGCTGTGCCGGGTCTTAGTTGCAGCACCCAGGATCTTCATTGCCGCATGCGGGATCTTCATTGCCTCATGAAGCCCCCGGCTTCTTTCTTTAAGCATAATATTTTTGAGGTTCATCTATGGCATAGCACATGCCAGTAATGCCAGTAGTTCATTATTATTATTTCCTCCTTCTGCTTGCCTTTGGTTTGGGTCGCTCTTTGTTTTCTGGATTTTTTAATTGAACCTGAGACTATTGATTTGAAAGCTTCATTCTTTTCTAATATAGGCATTTAAAGCTCTACATTTCCCTCTGAACACTGCTTTATCTGCATCTCATATGTTATGTTTAATTTTTGTTCAAATCAAAATACTTGCTAATTTTCCTTGAAATTTCTTCTTTGACCCATGGATTGTTTAGAAATGTGTTGTTTAATTTCTACATATTTGTAGATTCCCAAAGTTTCCTACTATCATTGCTTCCTAATTTGTCTTCTTTGTGGTTGGAAAACATACTTTGTATGGTTTGAATCCTTATTTTATTTTATTTTTAAGTACTTATTTTATGTACTTATTTGGTTGTGCTGGGTTTTATTTGCGGCAGGTGAGCTCCTTAGTTGTGGCTCACCAGTTCCTTTAGTTGCAGCATGTGTGCTCCTTAGTTGTGGCACGTGGGCTCCTTAGTTGCGGCTTGCAGGCTCCTTAGTTGTGGCATGCATGTGGGATCTAGTTCCCTGACCAGGGATCGAACCCAGGCCCCATGAGTTGGGAGTGCGGAGTCTTAACCACTGCGCCACCAGGGAAGTCCCGGTTTGAATCCTTTTAAATTTATTAATTCTTGTTTTATAGCCTAGCCTATGCTCTATTCTGGATAATGTTCCATGTGCGATTCAAAAATGTGTATTCTGTTCTTTTTGGGTGGTCAGATGTTCTACAGATACCTGTGAGGTCTAGTTGGTTTATAGTATTGTTGAAGTCTTCTATTTCATTGTTGATATTCTCTCTAGTTGTTTTATCCATTGTGGAATATTGAAGTCTCTAATTATTATTGTTGCATTGTCTAGTTTTCCCTTCAGTTCTGTCCATTTTTGCTGCATCTATTTGGAACTTTGTTGGTAGGTGCATATATGTTTATAAGTGTTATATCCTCTTGATGGATTGACCCTTATATCATTATAAAATGTCAATATTTGTCTCTTGTAACAGTTTTTGCCTTTGAGTCTGTTTTCTCTAATATTAGTATAGCCACTCCAGCTCTCTTTTAGTTAGGTTTTTAAACTGAACTTTAGATTATTTATTTGAGATCTTTGTTCTTTTCTAATGTTGGTATTTAAAGCTATAAATTTCCTGTAAACACTGCTTTATTTGTATCTCTTTTCATCCTCTTACTTTCAGTTTAATTTTGTCTTTGAATCTAAAGTTTGTCTGTTGTACTTGGAAAACATTTTTTTATCCATTCTGCCAATACCTGCCTTTTGATTTTCATTCAGATTAATGCTAATGTAATTTAAATAGAATACAAAAACTTTGTTCCTATACAGCTCCATTCTCTCCCCCTCCTTTGTGGTAATATTGTCATACAAATTACATTTTTATATATTATAAGCTCATCATCACTGTTTTGTAATTATTTCTCTATGAAGTTGTTTAAAATGAGATAGGAGAATAAAAGAATTACAAAAAATGTATTTATACTGTCTTTTATAATTATGTTTGTAGTTACCTTTACTGGTGCTGTGTATTTCATGTGGATTTGAGTAACTGCCTAGTATCCTTTCATCATTTCAGCTTTGTTATTTTTTGTAAGGCAAGTCCATTAGCAATAAATTTTCAGATTTTGTTTATCTGAACTTTAAGTTCCCTTTTATTTCTGAAGGATAATTTTGCTGGCTGTAGAATTCTTGCTTAATAGTCTTTCTTTCAGCACTTTGAATATGTTATTCTACTGCCTTCTGGTCTCCATGGTTTGTGATAAGAAGTCATCTGATAATCTCATTGAGGATTGCTTATATGTGATGAGTTGTTTTTCTTTCATTGCTGTTAAAATTTTCTTGTTATCTTTGGCTTTTTTTTTTTTTTTTTTTTTGTGGTACGCGGGCCTCTCACTGCCGTGGCCTCTCCTGTTGCGGAGCACGTGCAGGCTCAGCGGCCATGGCTCATGGGCCCAGCCGCTCTGCGGCATGCGGGATCATCCCGGACCGGGGCACGAACCCGTGTCCCCTGCATCGGCAGGCGGACTCGCAACCACTGCGCCACCAGGGAAGCCCTATCTTTGGCTTTTTAACAGTTTGCCTATGATGGATCTCTTTGAACTCATTCTACTTGGAGTTCATTGAGCTTCATGGATTTGTAGATTAATGTTTTTCATCAAATTGGGGAAGTTTTTGGCCATTATTTTTTCAAACATTCTACACTCTCTAGCACTCCTTTCTTTCTGAGATTTTCTTTATGCATATGCTGTGAAGTTTGATGGTATCCCACAGGTCTCTGAGACTCTGGCCAGCTTTCTTCATTCTTTTTTCTTTCTCTTCCTCAGACTGGATAATCTCAGTTGTTACCTATCTTCAGGTTTGCTTATTCTTTGTTCTGCTATCTTAAATCTGCTGTTAAGACCTTCCAGTTAATTTTTCAGTTTGATTATTGTGCTTTTCAACTCCAGAATTTCTTTTTTATTTATTTTTATAATTTGTATCCCTTTATTAATAATCTCCATCTGTGGGCTTCCTCCCGGTCCAGGAGGATCCCACATGCCGCGGAGTGGCTGGGCCCGTGAACCATGGCCGCTGGGCCTGCGCGTCCGGAGCCTGTGCTCCGCAACGGGAGAGGCCACAGCAGTGAGAGGCCAGCGTACCGCAAAAAAAAAAATAATAATAATCTCCATCTGTTATGACATCACTTTCATACTTTTCTTTAATTCTTTAGACATAACTTCCTTTAGTTCTTTTAACTTATTTATAATAGCTGATTTAAAGTCTTTGTCTAGTAAGTCCAGTATCTGGACTTGCTGTTGCTTTGTGTGTTCTGCAATATTTTGGTGAAAACTGCCCATTTTAGATAATATAAGGTGGTCTGGAAATCAGATTCTCCCTTCTACCCAGGTTTTGTTATTGTTCCTTTTTGTATTTTTAGTGACTTTCCTAACTAATTCTGTAAGTCTGTATTCCCTGTAGTGTATGGCCACTGAAGTCTCCTCTGTTAGCTTAGAGGTCAGCTAATAATACGACAGAGATTTCCTTAGATGCATTCATCTAAGAAGCCTTCTACCCTTTGCCAAGAGGTTATATGTGTGTGTTAAGACAAACCTGAAATGCTCATGTGGTTTGGTTTACATGTCTGCCTTAGCCTTTAGTGCCTGCTTGCACAGAGCCTTAACAGTGAGTCAGAAGTGAAAAAAAAGGCCTTCTCAGGCCTTTACTATGCATGCACACAGCCTTACACATGTGTATAGTCTTCTAGCTTCCCGGAACTATGTCAGAATTTTTGAGAGCCCTCTATGGACATCTCATTCCCCAGATCTTCCTTTTAAACTTTTGGCTGGGCTCTTGTTTACCCAGTGATATCGCAGCCGTAATAAGCTGTGATGTTAAACAATTGCAAGTGACTATTTTTGACAAATATCCTGGGGTAGGGCTTTTTCTGTAGAGCAAACTACATGACTGGTCAGATAGCAACAATACCCTGCCAGTGTGGCTCTGTGCTCTGAAGTCAGGGCTTTTTGAGGTGCTCAAAATCCAGTCTTCCCTCTTCAGTGGGTGTGACACTGCTGCTTTTCACAGCTGTCATGGTTGCAGGGCTGCTTGTTTTTAAGACTGTTGTGTAAGTAGGGGTTGGGAGTGAGCCCAGTTAAAACGCCAGAAATCCTGCTGTTCTTACCAAGGCTCGGTAGGGCTTCTTTAATTAATACTATTTAGATTGTGGCAAGCCTTTGCTTAATTTTCAAGGTTTCAGACAACTTGATTTGGAAAAATTTGCAACTATTTCCAATGCTTCTATGGAGGAACAGATTTATGGAGGTTGTTACTTGGCCCTTCTTGAGATACTTACTGGATTATTCCTTTTGAAAATAATTCTTCTGTCATTTTTATAGAATCTCAGGAAGGAAATGAAGGGAGACAAATGTGTTTAGTCTGTCATCTTTACCCAGAAGTCTGTGGCTTTTTTTTTAAAGTTTGAAAACCACTGCTCTGTTTGATGACGTGGTTAGTTGCATTTCACTTAGTATTTTATAGTTATTTGCATTGACTTGGAAAATAAAAGTTTGGGTTGGGACCAGATCCAGTTTTACCAAGAAGTAAATGAAGCTTAAGTTTCAGGGCCCCTCACTTGTGTCTTTCAAAGACCTGCAGGGACCATAGTGATGTGTTGATTATGGTCATGTGATTTTGTAAAATTTGCCAAGGCAAGATTTTTGTTTTTCCTAAAGAGCCCCCTCCATCCCCACCCCCACCAAATAATTTAAGCTCAGGCACCACAAAACTTGGACTCATTCCAAACAAGATATATATATATATATATATATATATATACACATATGCATACTTTCATTGATTTTAGTGATTGTAGTATTATCTAGAACAGTGATTCTCAAACTTTAATATGTCTACACATCACCAATAAGTCTTTTGAACTCCAAGTATGTGTCAGTGTTTCTGGGATAGGCCTAATACTGTGCATTTCTACCAATCTCCCATGTGTTGTTGATTTTGCTTGTGCATGGACCACATTTTGAATAGTAAGGATCACCTTTCCTTTAAAGGTAAGAGGGTTTTGAACACAAAGAAAGACATTGGTTTGAAGGAGTGTTATCCTCCTTTCCTGAACTTTAAATGTTAGGAGAGATAAAGACAGGGACAGCTCAGAGGCAGTCAACAGAGAACCCCCAAACTTCATTGTTTTTTCAATGGTTTCCTGAGATCCAGCTCTCAAAATTATGTTCCCATACAACCATTTTGTTTTTCACTTTCAGTACAGTATTCAATAAATTGCATGAGAAATTCAACACTTTATTACAAAATAGGCTTTGTGTTAGATGATTTTGCCCAATTGTAGGCTAATGTAGGTGTTCTGAGTGCATTTAAGGTAGGCTAGGCTAAGCTATGATGTTCAGTAGTTTAGGTGTATTAAGTGCATTTTCAACTTCTAGTATCTTCAACTTATGATGGGTTTATTGGGATGTAACCCCATCATAACTCAAGGAAGATCTGTAGTTTCCCTTCGTTTTTTAGGATCTTACATGGTTCATTCACTGATTGCATTTGCTTTTAGAATTGCAGTTTAATGAAGAAAAACTTTAATATGATCTACTCATCCTTCTTCATTAAAGGAAACTGTGTTATCTTACAGAAGTATTTCCTCTTTTCTTTGTTTTCAGGTTGGCGCTGTAAATGGTATGGTCACCGAACAGGCGACAAAGAATGCCCTTTTTTTATCAAAGGCAACCAAAAGTTAGAACAGTTCAGAGTAGTAAGTAGAACCCCACCATATCAATTTACATTTATCAGAGATAGTGAATATCAGTTGATTAGGTACTAACAGTGAACTGCAAATTGACACAAAATACATTCCCAGAAGTCATCTGGCTAAAGTATCTGGTGTTAACTACATTTGTATTAAATTACAGGCGTACCTCAGAGATGTTGCAGGTTTGGTTCTGGCAATATCTAAAACCTCAATAAAGCAAATAACACAATATAGTGAATGACATGAATTTTTAAATTTCCCAACACATATAAAAGTCATGTTTACTCTATACTGTATTCTGTTAAATATGCAATAGCATTCTGTCTAAAAAAACAAAGTACATAACTTAATTTAAAATACTTTCTTGCTAAAAAATGCTAACCATCATCTGAGCCTTCAGAGAGTTGTAGTACTAACATCAAAGATCACTGATCACAGATTGACCTAACAAATGTAATTATAATGAAAAGTTTGAAATATTGTGAGAATTACCAAAATGTGACACAGTGACATGGTATGAGCAAATACTGTTGGAAAAATGATGCTGATATACTTGCTCAACACAGAGTTGCCACAAACCTTCAATTTGTAAAAAACGCAGTATCTGCCAAGTGCAGTAAAGTGAAGTGCAGTAAAATGAGGCATGCCTGTACATTTGTGTGACAGATTAGTTCTTAACAAAAAACTTCTTATTAAGGTGTTATTCACTTATACCTTGGGAATAGTGATTCTTTTTCTGAAGCAGACATTGTTATTTATTCAATCACTTTTTTTAACTTATTGTATAAAAAAATCAGTTTTATAACTAAAATGAGGGTTTTAGTTTTCCAGGCTTTACTTGAAGATTATATGTCTTTAAACTATAAGCTAGAAGTGTATATATAAATTATATTTGCTCTTTACATGACAGTAAAATTATCATTTCCTCACCTTATTTTAACAGAGTCATTTCCCAGGGGTGTAAATTCTCCATTCAGTAACTGCTTCTGTCAAGTGAAATATGTAGCTCTCTGGATGTACTGAGGTTATCAACATATATCAAACTGGAGTCAACAGACATTCTCCAGTTTTTTTGTTTGTTTTTTAATTTTATTTTTTGGCTGCGTTGGGTCTTCATTGCTGTGCACGGGCTTTCTCTAGTTGCGGTCAGCAGGGGGCTACTCTTCGTTGTGGTGCGCAGGCTTCTTATTGCAGTGGCTTCTCTTTGTTGCAGAGCATGGGCTCTAGGCACACGGGCTTCAGTAGTTGCAGCATGCAGCCTCAGTAGTTGTAGCTCGCGGGCTCTCGAGTGCAGGCCCAGTAATTGTGGTGCGTGGGCTTAGTTGCTCTGTGGCATGTGGGATCTTCCCAGACCAGGGATCGAACCCGTGTCCCCTGCATTGGCAGGTGGATTCTTAAGCACTGCGCCACCAGGGACGCCCCATTCTCCAGTTTTTAAGACATTTTAAGATGTTGTGTTTTCATTTTAATAATCTGAAATAACTTATTTTGGATCAATCATTCTACTTTTAGGTGGAATGACAATTTCTACAGATACTGTAGAACATAGTTTGGTGATAAATCTCAAAAACTTTAAACATACTCATTTTGACTCAGAAATCCCACTTTAATTTACCTTAAGGATGTAAGAGAACATTAATATATACACAACTCTTTATGTATGTATAAGGATAGCTTTCATTATTATTTATGTGGTTAGAAAAATGGGAGCTAAAGAAAAATAGGAAACACCTTAATAGTCCAATATATCAACATAAATTACTGTAACAAATTATTTAGCCATTAGGAATTGTGTTTTAGAAGAATGTGTAATATCATGGGAAAATGTTTATGAAAACACAACTGAAAGTAATAGAGTTTTATATATAAATGGTATGATTATAATTTTTCATAAATTATGAATAACAATTTAAAAAGACCAGGGACTTCCCTGGTGGTCCAGTGGTAAATAATCTGCCTTCCAATGCAGGGGATGCGGGTTTGATCCGTAGTCAGGGAGCTAAGATCCCACATGCCGCAGGGCAACTAAGCCTGCGCACTGCAACTACTGATCCCACGCGCCTCAACTAGAGAGAGAAAAACCTGCACACCACCACTAGAGAGAAGCCCGTGCACCACAACGAGAGATCCTGCGTGCCGCAAGTGAAAATCCCACATGCCTCAATGAAGAGCTCGTGTGCCACAACTAAGAGCCAATGCGGGACTTCCCTGGTGGTGCAGTGGTTAAGAATCCGCTTGCCAATGCAGGGGACACAGGTTCAATCCCTGGTCCGGGAAGATCCCACATGCCCGGAGCAGCTGGGCCCGTGAGCCATGGCCGCTGGGCCTGCGCGAGCCACAACTACTGAAGCCCGAGTGCCTAGAACCCATGCAGCGCAGTGAAGAGTAGCCCCCACTCGCCACAACTAGAGAAAGCAGCAATGAAGACCCAATCAAGCCAAAAATAAATTAAAAAAAAAAAAAAGACCCAATGCGGCCAATAAATAAAAAGAGAGACCAGGGAATTCCCTGGTGGTCCAGTGGTTAGGACTCGGCGCTTTCATTGCCGTGGGTGCAAGTTCAATCCCTGGTCAGGGAACTGAGATTCCACAAGCTGTGTGGTGCAGCCAAAAAAAAAAAAAGAAAGAAAAAGAAAAAGACAGACCGAATGTTAATATTACTGTTATCCCTGGGTAGTGAAGTTGTAGATTTTTTTTAAAAACTTAATTTTCTGATAATATCTAAAATTTCTCTAATAAACATTTATTCTTTTTTAAAATGAGATAATTCAAATACCATAACATTTCCCATACGTGTTCTTACTTTTAAGTAATTCAAATCATTTAAAATTATCTATACCTCCAGTATACTTCCAGACTTTGTTTGGGATACTTATATATTTTTGCATACCTATAAATGTTTCATTGTTATATATAATTTTATAATTCACTTTTCTTTTTTTTTTTTTTTTCCAGTTTTTTTTTTTTTTTTTACACGGGCCTCTCACTTGTTGTGCTTTTT